ACATTAGAGTTTTCTTCAAAACATCAGACACACTTCAAGCAACCTTGTCCATATAAAAGACCAAATCCCCAAAGATTCTCTATCTAATTGTGTCTATAAAATAAAATGCTTGGAATGTGATGCGATATACATCGGACAAACATCTCGAGAAATCAAAATCAGAAGAAATGAACACCGTAGAGTATCTGTTCGACCACCGAGAAATCCATTTCAACTGAAAAAACTTGAAAAATCATCAGCCATAGGTCTACACGCTATAGAATCAGGCCACAAAATTGATTTTGACAATATTGAAATAATCCAGAGAAAGCACTTCAGAAATCACAAAGAACGTCTAATATCAGAAGCACTTCATATCAAGTGGAATCCAAATTTCCTGAATAGGAATGATGGACTAAAACAGAATCTGACCTGGTTACAACACCTCCCTCCCCTATGAAGTGACAAAATCAACACGAATGTGATAAGCAAGTTCACTATGTAAACACATACTGCCTTTATAATTTTACACACTGATCAAATCCAACAATCCACACTTGATTTTGTTATCTTTACCAGTTGACCAACTTGACAACGAAAAATGACCCCAGACTGACGAACGATGATCAAGTTAGTAAACTTTGTTTTGATACCATAACAGATGTACTATTACCTTTGTTATTTGGTTTAGTGATCTTCATTGTTATTTTGACTTTCAATATTTCCCCTTTAACTTGACCTAAGTGTATTTTCTCACCCCTTAACTCTTTGTTATATATATGCTGAGATTTTGTAAATTCCGGTTTAATAATTCTTTGATAAAGCTATTAGCATTAAATAGCGAAACGTCAGTAAAAACAACAATATCGTTTTGTTTTTCATTCATTGGGAAATACAAAGATACCTTTATCTACAATGAATATCATATACCTAATACCCAAATTTTTTCAAACCGTTAAAAGTGAACTTGGTTTGGACATATATAATGCTGCTTAGAGTTGGTATCTCTGATCCACACAGTCAATATCTTCACATTTAATATTATCTGTCTTGTTTTAACTTTTATGTTTTACAGCCCAAACACATAGAAGCTCTTTGCCAGTTATCAATGGTATTACGTCAACTGCCTCCTCCGCCTCCGCCTCCCAGTCGTCCTGTTAATATTAACAATGCAAGAACATCAACATCAACAACACCAGCAGCAAAGCAGGCTCAATCGAGTACAGAATCTTCTTCTGTCTTCAATCAATCTGTAGATCTAGCACATTCAGCGGTTAGTCATCAACCGACAAATGGTTTTGCATGGTCTGTACTTGGCAATGCATTATTGATTATGTTTTTCAAAAATTTCGGTTCCATGACAACGCCTCAGTCGCAGGCATCGTCATCATCATCAAATAAACAAGCTCTATCACAAACTGATAATAATAACACCAGTTGTAATAATAATAATAATAAAAGTATGAGTGGATCAACAGTAACAAAGACTTTAACGATGACGACAACAGCAGCAACATCATCATCACCATCTTCATGTCAAGTTATTATGAATCGATGTCTAGCGGCGTATTCACAAGCAGCTAAGGATCGTTCAACAGCCTTAGAACCAAGTTTTCATTACAATCGAGGTTTAGCTTGGCATTATCGGGTAATTTAAAAAGTAGTGTTTCTTTAAATCTTACAGTTTTTTGATATATATATATATATACGCGCGTGTGATTCCTCTCTCAGATTACCCTGACTCTACACAGCTGACCATAATGCTTTTGATCACCTTTTATCCTCTTCTTCACACAACCGCCTACACACATATCATCCTCAAAACGACGCCATACTCATTGTTTCCCATTCAGGTTCCATTCAACGGTTTGCCTGGTTGGTGAGTGATTTCAGTCGAAGGTCTCCTCATCATCTGTCGTCGGATCCATCCATCTTTATATCCTACTGCTTATTTGTTGAGTAATAGGTTCTTGGTCGGTTCGTTGTCTCACAGACTTCCTTGTTGCTTGTTAGTCCTTTCTAGCCTACTATGTAATCTTCAGTGTAGATCTCCGTCTAATGTTCTGTCTTCAACTGAATTCTTCCAAATGTTAGACTGGTAATTTCAGTTTCCGATGTTAACGAAAGTTAAATGATGAAGCTGTTGGTTCCTGTGACAGTTGCGAAATTGATGATATTGAGGATATAGAAGTCAAGTCTGAAGTTAAGTATCTTGGATTAATTCTTTCTTCTGACCTATCCTGGTCTTCCCACACTTCTAAAAGAATATTTCGTTTGACTTCTTACATTAAGAAGTTAAAGCACTCAGGCATAACTCAACCCCTCCTCCTATTACAGTTTGTCAACTCGTGCATCTTACCTATTCTCCTTTACTGTTCACCCTTATTCTTTCCTGGATTGCTTAAAAAAGACTATGTCATACTTCGTAGAACTCTGAAGACTGTCAGTCAGTTGGGCGAGTGGTATCAAATTGGGCCATGTTGTTGACATCATCATTGACATGCACTTGATTTCATGCAGCAAATTCGCTAAAGGAATTTTGTCAGACTATGAGCATCCACCACAGCACCGCAGCTCCAGCCTTTTGTCTCCTCAGGTAAGACCAGAAGTCTTCTCAAAAGACTTTATACTCACGCGTCTAAGTATAAAAGTTCCACAATACCATATTTGGCACGTACTTTATGTGATGAAAACAGTGTTAGGCATGAACTAACTAACCTTCTTTGCACTACTAAATAAACCATTTCCTCCACCCTTACAACATCAACGTTTATTGTTATTGTACTTATTATATTTATAATTCTCTCAATTTTTTGTTTTTATTTGTTTATTTTTTCATAAATGTGAACATCATTTAAGCTATGTTATAACTGTTAATTTCGCTTTTTCCCTTACCATGCTATTTCAAAAGAACATGAGATTCAATAATCTATAACATGGTAAAATTTTCAAACTGAATCCCCAATACTGTTTAAAACAAACTCACTGTTATTATTATTATTATTATTATATTTATTATTCTCATTTTGTATTTCGAATATTTTTGACTTTATATCGTAAATGTGGACAAATTCCTCTAGTTAATTTTGTTTTAAATTTTAAACTTTATTTATATTTTGAGTAAATCAGATGCGATATTGTGACAAATACTGAGAATTCCATTCTGTATTATAGGTATTGTTTTTGTAATAAAGTAGATTATTATTATTATTATTATTATTATTATGTGATCCTCGCAGGCTTTGACGCCTCATCTGTGTCGTCTGTAGTTGAAATGATTAGTGCTTGTTGGTTGTGTTGGTTGATGGGTATCTTCATCGCCTCTCCCTTTATTCTATGTTCATTCTTGAAGTCCTCTCTCTTCACTGCTTCTTCTGTCAGCTTTAATGCATTGTCCACAGCTATATTCATCGATAGAATTGGTTATAACCTTCCTTCTATTTATGGATGGCATTCCAAGTACAGCATTATCATACCAATGTGTGGTAATATGATTATGTGAATTAATTTGTCCGCGGTGAAGTTACACCGATTCAGATGGTTAGCACATGTGTTACTCATTCCCATCCTAGTCATGGCCTTCCTTGACGACAGGCAGTGTTACCTGACTGACATAGGATCATTTAATTTTAATTTTATCATAGATTGATTCCACACAGTATTTTGGTACAAGTATGAAATTTTCAGCATGTGATATCGGTAGCCCAAATTTAGCAGGCCGACCATAGATATGATGGTGTGCGTCGGCGGGGGATCGAACCTCGGACCATGTTCATGATCGGCGAGAGTTCTAACCGCTGTGCTACCAACGCACATGTTGGAAAATGACTACTACTGGTCGTCAAACCAAAACATGGCTCCATCAGTCAATGAAGTCCATAACAATTAGTTTAAGCCAGCCAGCCGCCACGTAGGCAGGTGTAAACTTCCTGACTGACAGGTTGGGGTCTTCAGACTTGTAAGAACCAATGAGGGCTGGAGACAATTAGTGATATGGCTCAAAATAGTTGTTGATGGGTGACGCAGATGCATTCACTCTTTGTGATTTATCATATGCAATAAAATTCTATATTTCTTCCATATTACTATTCTTTTTGCTTCATATGTCTGTTTAATATTTCTCTTTTGAGTCTCTCTTTGCTCTCTTCTCTTGCTTTGTGTGCTAAATGGAGGGAGAGTGGTAAGTCGAACTGCTGTACATCTGAGCAAAGTTCTACGTTGAAACCAGCCAACCAGTCAGTCAGTAAATTGTCCTCGTAGCGTCCTCCAGTTAGTATTGCTATTTCTAAATTCTACCCTTACATTAGTTATGCCCTATTATCAATATCTCTTACTCAACTGATCTACTTAGAATAATACTTAATATTGATAATAATAATAATAATAACAATAATGATAATAGTAATAATAATGACTTGATTTCACAAGTGACTACAAATCGACTTTTCACTTAGAGAACCATTGAAAATCAGGCTATTCGTCACATAAGTGAAGGCGCGAAAGCTGACATTTGGCGCTTGAAACCTAACTGGTGGACATGCGTGCTGGAAAACCCTGATTCCAAACCTATTTGTGGTGTATGTGGGCTCCAGAATACGAATACGATCAAATGGCGCGTGTATGAACTTATTTCGGTTGACAGAATGTTGCCCCACTACCTTGTGAATTAAACCTCAAGTCAAAGACTCAGGTGGGGGTGGAGGTGGTTGACCCTTTAAGACCACCACATTTGTTTCGGTCTAGGCATTCTGGCAGTAAGTATCCCAGTTGTCGCGGAAACTATGGTGCAATATTCTGTGTGACACATCTCTTGGTTCTCATAAGGTATCAAGTTTGTGTAATTAGTAGTCTTCTCTGAGCTGGTTGGTTTAGTTGCGGAGCTTTTGTCGCCGTTTGTGTTTCAATAATAATAGTAATAGTAGTAATATTAATAATAATTGAATATATGTACAAATTTATAAGTATTCTCTATAGTTTAATAAAAACAAATCCAACTGCTTTATTCCCCTTCATTTATCCAGGATATGTTTGGCAAAACACTGACATGTTGGCTTCAGGCTGTTTGTCTGGATCCAGACTGGCCTGCACCACAAAATTGTATCAAGCGTATTATTAAATTTATTCTAGAATGGAAGACATTTATGCAACAGTTGTCTGAAATTCATTCCTGCACTGGTAGTTGTTCTATGGAGAAGAAATCGTCGGACCAACGGCGACAACAACAACGACAAGAAATCGATGAATTCATTGTTCCCTTGAATCCGCTTACTAAGCTATTAACTGTAAGCACTAAGGAGAATTCTAATTGGTCAGAGAATAATGGCGATAATCAAACTAACCAATCATCACCGAATTATGATAATAATAAGTTGACCTTGGATATCAAAGATAAAACTGCATTGAGTCGTTTATTGGGACCTTGTTGTCCGCTGATCAACAACAGTGTGGTTGACCAGCATGATGACAATTCGGTGGTGGATGACAAGTCGGTGGCGAATATGAAACAGAAAGGCAGTGACAAAACTAACAACAGCAACAACAACAAGAAGAAGAAGCGATTAAAATCTGCGAAACATACCAACAGTTCGAGTAATACTTTGACTAATTCTAATGAACTTAGGCTGTTAACTTCTGTAATTGACACCAGTCAGATACACGTTGGTCTGTTCAAAGATTTACAGGTAATTTGATTATTGTTATTATTATTAAAATGCATATTATGTATTTTTCAAGTTAATTTATATTTTCCGTGGATGGTAAACTCTCTATCTCTATTGACACCTGTCACCTCGTGTATGAACACGTCGATGATGTTACTGGGAGTAAAATAAGGCTACGCATTCACTGTCACTGACAGTATTCGAAATTGTGGTGGACTTCATAATGTGTAGGGAGCAAAGAAGACAAAAAATGTTGGACCGACAACAGAAGTCCTTAAAATATCAGAACTCTGCGGATAATTTATGTCTCTAATGTCACACAAAGTCAAAGATCTACAGATGAAAACCAACAACTTGGCAAAAGAGATAGGCAGCGAAGACAAGAATTCAAGTGAACATAGAGAAGGCAGAAATGAAGAAGGTACCTACTGACCAACAATAACAGGAAACTTAATTGGTGGATGGTGACTGGCAGTGGAATAATCGAGGATGACGTGCATTTCGTCCTATTTGGGACTCGTCAGCTGGGTGTGCCTGTATTGTACAGTGAGTGATGATGTTCCCACCGAGGCTCAAACCCAGAACCCATAGTTTCAAATGTCAGTCAAAGCTTTATCTACTAGACCACTTGGGCCACGAAATGCGCATCCTGGATTCCACTGCTAGTCACTATCCACCAATTAAATTCTAATTACATGCCCAGACGTCGAAGCATCTGCACAAGAAGCCGATATGTCACCCTGAGACCCTGCACTTACCTAGGCAGAATAGCTAAGGATGTCAAAGGTATTCAGGATAGGAAAAGCAATGCAGACATTCATTCATTAAACTGAAATCGGCTGCACCTAACCAGCATAAAGAACACAACTCGGATTTTCAACACCAATGTGAAGGTAGTCAGTGCTTCTGTAATGGTTTAGAGACTTGACGTAAGCATCTGGAAAAAGCATTTCCAACAAGCTACTAAAGACGTTCGTTAAAACATGTGGCTTCTCTGGCTTGATACTTTAAGCCAGCCTAGCAACAAGGAACGCTAACGATGAACCGAGAATCTATCGCCTACCAAAGAGAATTGAGATGGATTGGATAGGCCGTTGAATGGAAGCTGATTAGGAGGGGTGGTATGAAGAGTGTTGTGTTAGGGGAGGAGGAGGTAAGAGTTCACTGGCAATTGTGGAGCTAAAGGAGCTAAAGACGATTGTGCAGAACAAGATAACATACTGGTGTCCTATTGTAGCCCTAGGCTCTACTGGGAATCCATGATGAGGAACTCATGGTTTCCAAGGCAGTTGACAGTGTTTAACCAAATTAACACCGATTCAGCTTGAAGGCTTCATAAAAGTGTGTTTGTACTAAGAACTGTGTCATCGATCAACGGGAAATGTGAAGTAGTTTTTTGGTCAATCACAACTGTTACTCCAGTGCACAAGAGATTGTCGTCGTGAGTCAGTGATCTAATGCATAACGCTTGTAGTGGTGTATGCTTACTTTTGGTATCAGTAGGGACACCACCCAGATGATGAGTCCCAAACTGACGAAACCTATCCTTAATTGAAGTCTGAGCTGATGAATGAGATTTCATTTGCTCACCAAACTATCATGGTTACTCAGTAGACATTGATTTCTATTCATGGACGGCCAGAAGTTGACCCATGTTGGTTGTTAATCAGGTATAGAAATATGTAAAGTGAATATCTGTAGTACTGCTTATTTCCGTAATCCACTCAACAGCTATTTGATAATGCCATGTGTCAGGTGATCCACAACAAAAAACTCAGAGAGGCGTTCAAAGTGAATACAGGAGTTAGACAAGGCTACCGACTGCTAACACCAATGATATTCCTGATTGTGGTGGACTGGATTATACGTCAAACTGTGCATGGGAGTGAGAAGATAGGAATACGTTGCACCACTGACAATAAGACTCTAGAAGGTCTGGATGATTTATTTGTAATATCACACAAACTCGAAGACTTTCAAGCGGAAACCAACACACTGGCAGGTGGCGAAGACAGAACTCATTCAGGTGAACATAGAGAAGACGGAGGTGATGAAGATAACGAACCGACAAACCAACAAACATCAACAACAACAACAGCAACAACCAGCACCAATCACCATCAACGGGAGAGATTTGAAAGAGGTCACTTCCTGGCTTCTCTTAGCTGGCTAGGAAGCATCGTTTCAACCACAGTCAGGCGGCACGGATGTAGTAGATGTCAAAGCCATCCAGCCAGAATCGGAAAGGCAAGGCAGCACATCTTCACCGACGTGAAACCAGTTTGGAAATCTTCTGCTCTCACTCAGCCAACGTAAAGAACAAGATTCGGATTTTCAACGTCAATGCGAAGTTAGTCAGTTCTTCTTTACGCATCAGAAACTTATCCAGCGTGTTACGAGAAGCATTTCCAACAAGTTACCACAGACTTTTATCAACAGCTGCTGAACATAAAATGGCTGGCTGGCCAGAAAAAATTGGCAACAAGAAATTATGGCTGGCGACAAACCAACAGGCGAGCACTGATTTCTCAACAACTGTGTGGGAGAGAATGGATATAGATGGATCGGACTTACGTTGAGGAGGCCGTCGAATGACGTCGCGCCTAATGCAGGCCATCGCTGGAGTGGAATCTGAATGGGAAGCGACGTGTGGGTCATCGGTGCGAGGCTGATATAGAGAAGATGGTGTGGGGAGAAGGAGATGAGAGTTTCTGGGCAATCGTGGAACTAGTCAGATGAAGAGGACAGCAGAAAATAGGAGAAAGTGGAGATATGTTGTTGAAGCCCTATGTTCCACTTGGAACTCAAGGGAATAATAATAATAATGGATGTTTAACCAAATTCGCGATTTTCGCCACAGTTTTTCCTTTGGAAACTGAAATGATTCACATCATACACGACATATGATCTGCTTGTGATAACTAAGTAACCCGCCAGAACTTAGTTTGTTTGAGTTTATACCAGGTACACATCTGATGAGCTTGGCCCTAAACTAGCAAGCGAAACAGCTATCTGGCTGGGCAGCATTCCAGCTATCAAAGACGCCTTGGTCTTTAATACGTACCCAATGCAACACTCGACACCCTAATACGCTGAAATAAATGCACCGATGAAGTTAAATTTTTTTCTTGAATTCAGTGTTCTTTCTTGATAGTAAGCCATTTATTCTATTATTACTGTTTTTTTATTATTATTATTTTTACGTGTTGATTATGGATTGATGTCAATTAGAGAGCCACTGGAAACCATCCTAATTTGGGAATCATTGGCAGTGTGCAGCCACACCATGAGGTTCGAACCCAGGACCTTCCAGTTACAAGGCAAGCTAGATCGTATACCATTCAGCCACTGGGACGCGATTCATCGACCAGCCCATGAATCCTAACTTCTACCAACTCGTGATTTAGCGTGACCCCAACCAATGTCGTCGGTGGGACATCCATCCTTACACGTGACTGGATGGACAACAGACGATCCCGCCAACGACATTGGTTGGGATCACGCTAAATCACAAATTGGTAGAAGTTAGAATTCATGGGCTGGCTGGCCATTAAATCGGGTCCCAATGGATGAATGGTATACGAACTTACCATGTAACCGGAAGGTTCCGGCTTCGAACCCCATGGTGTGGGTGCGTACTGCCTTTGATTCCCAAACTGGGATGAAACAGCTATCCAGTACTCCCAGATGGTTTTCAATGGTTCTCTAACTGATGTCAATCCGTGATCACCTCTTCAAAACAAAACTAATCCGTACAAACCAACTATAGAATATTACTATTATTATTGTATTATATATTGTATCTATAGATAGGGTTGAACAAGAATACAGTATGTGTTGGACGTGTCTATGCTGAATTGCCTGCTGATACAGATTTAGCAAGAAATTTTCTCCTTGTCGATGCTTATGGTATGCCTTTCACTGTTCGAGTGTACAATATTGGAAAGGTTAGTTCTTAAGAGAAAAAGCTTTCTTGTATTACACTTGTAATATGATACACATAAATATGCATGCTAATGTTGACATTCGTCATTAACAGTCACTGGAAATACTGTAGTCACTTCAAAATTGATTGCAAACTCTCACTACAGTTAGAGAACGTTTGAAAACCAGGAAGTATTGAACAGCTTTTTCGTGCTTGTTCGCCACCCAATCGGGAGCCCATCACCACCCTGTTCACTTGTCTATAAAGTGTACCATCAAATTTGAAATTTACATTCATGGTACACCTTGATAACAATTCTTTTAGGATTTCCATTGGAATGCACATATTTATCGACTGGTTGTACACTTGTTCGCGCATATATATATATATATATATATATATATATATATATATATATAGTTAACCGTTTCTACTAGAGGAGTAAATTTGTGTATAAAGATGTTATTTCCAAAGATATCACAGTTTTATCCTTGATATTAATATCTTTGATTTTGTCCACTTGCATCGTTTCGGAATTATGTTACTTGTGTTACTTTCTATGGAGCATGCGGTGCTTCGATGATTTTGCCAATTTATTAGGCACCCGGTAGATGATAGAGAAGGATACTTCACAATAACATTGAGATTGGATTAGCAACGCCGATTTGACGACACAGAAAAGCTAATCACGATTACTGCTTGACTACGCTGACAACATTGTACGACAGCTACATGTTTCCCGGCCAGTTCTGCTTAAGCAAGAACATATAACGAATTGAGCCGAAAATTATATTTCCGTATAAGCCACACTATGCGTTAGTGGTTCATTGGTGGAATGTTCGCCAACCTTGCACGCGGTATAGGGTTCGATTCTCTACTGATGCACTCCAAAACCTCGCTAAGCCAGCAGTAATCCTGGTAAAGTTGGTGAAGTTGGACGTGATGCCTAGAAACCCCACTCTGTAAACAATGAAACCACTACTACGGAAACTGCATAGTTGTAGCTTGAAGCCTTATGTTCCAACCACAATAATGAATGACTCAAAAAGTCAACAAGGTCATATTGATTCGTCTATAACAATCATGACCAATAAAGTAGTGGGTGTTATTTTTTATCTAGATCGATTCTGATTGGTTTATTCCCAGACTGGTCATCGACCACTATATCATCAATAAAAGGATAATCAATTGTTTATGTGTCTATATATCAGTAGGATAAATTGAAAGTATTAAAAAGAAATATTATTAGATAGAAGGAAACAGCCTAACTGACTAATTGCCAGATTTTTCTCCACCAAATAAAAGCCAAATGCATGCAATCGAAATTACGCAATACATGTCATGCAGATGTGGACAGCTGCAGTAGAACAACAACAACAATAAAGTATGATGAGATTAAGGATGTACGACGAATTATTATTATTATTATTGTTTCCTTTGGTTCCTAGAGGAATATAGGGCTTCAGCTGCACGTCTCCATTGCTTTCGGTTCTCCGCCAACGTTTTCATCACCTAGTTCCACGTCTGCCCACATGCTTTCAACTCCTCTTTGCATAACCTCCTCCGTGTCACCCTCACACTGATGACTAACTCGCCGCTTCCTATTCAGGTTCCACTCGAGCGGTAGCCTGACGTTTGATGTCACTCACTTGATGGTTTGTTTTCTCAGAGTATGGCCATTCCACCTCCATTTCTTCCTGCCTATTTGTCGCACAATTAGTTCTTGCTGGGTTGGTTCGCTCACTGCCAGAGATGCCTCACAGTTGCTCATCTTTTTAGCCGGCCATCTGATCTTGAGTAGTATTGAGCGAAGACAGCTGTTGATGAAGGTCTGTTTAATGCTTATGACGCTTGCCAAGTTTCTGATCCATGAAGTAGCACTGACTGACTTCACATTGGAGTTGAAAATCTGGATCTTGTTTTTCATGCTGAGTGCTGTGTGTTGATCTTCACACAGACTTCAGAGAAATGAAAGCTTACCTTGCTTTCCTGATCTTCGCTTTGATATCCTCGTCAGTTCCGTTCGCCTGTAGTTGAAACGATGCTTCCCTGGTAGGTAGGTAAAGGAGGTTGCTTCTTTCAGATTTCTCCCATTTATGCTGGCTGATTGTTGTCTGTGGTTGTTGTTGGCCAGGAATCTTCATCAGCTCTGTTTTCTCCATGTGTGTACGATGAAGCTTGTTAGGAAGTTATGTGAACATATTGATATACTTATGCTTAAGTACCTGTTCAATTTGTCACACTTCATACACCACATAAAGTCAGACAAAATAGATTCAAAAGAACCACAATTAAGACAGAAATGCGAGAGAGAAAGAATGGTGACGTGGAAAAAAATGATGGTCGATTGGTCAAATGTATCTGTACCACTGAGAACTATTTTTAGGCATATCACCCACCACCAATAGTTTCCAGTAATTAGTCTTTAGCATCCCGACGACCTGCATTAGTCAATCAATAGACGAGGCTTTGAAGTCACATCGATTAAGATGTGTAGGACATATGTTATGCGTGCCTAGAGCCGTCGATCGCCTTCCTCTACGGGCAATGTTAGCTGGGTATATGCACAACACGTGTCCTATCCATCTCAGTCGATGTAGCTACTTCACAACCTCGTCGATCGATTTCCCCGCCCCCCCCGTACCTGGCATTCAACCCCCAACCTAATTACTGCTCACCTTATTATACCACCTGATATGGGAGAGAGAGAACTCAGACAGACATCTATGATCAATGATAGCTAGCCGGCCTTTTTGCCTCTTTCACTTTCAATATCCTTGTGTCACAGTCATAAAGGAGGGCGGAGCGAACTGCTGTTGTCCAGTACACACGTCCTTTGATCGATAACTGGATGCTACCTTCGGTTGTAATAAGATGCCACTGCATGTCACTGAAATCTTTGCTAGATTTGTTGGATACACAGTTTAAAAAAGAGTTTTAGTAGAAAGTTGGTTGAGCCAGATGCGGAAATAGTGGACACACCAGAGAACCATGATATGCTGTTGATGCACTCCAAACCCAAGGAATAAGTAATCATAGTAAGAATATATTGACTTCCATGCCATATTCTATTGTTATTGTTATCTTACCATATTTTCCTCTTTTATTTTTTTACAGGGTAAAGGACCAATTCGTAAAGATATCATTGTTATACCGAATCCGTTTGTTGAAGAGATATTCATTGAAGGTTTTATCCTGCATTCATGTATAACTGCTTTATCAAAGTTAGATAGTAAATATCTGTCTGAGGATATAATCAATAAACTAGCAAATCTTAACAAAGACACTGACACCACCATTGACAAAAGTGATAATATGAAAGAATCTGATTTCACTTCACTACCTCCTTCTCATCTTTTATCAAATAGTACAGCCGATCTCCATATTCGCCTTATACGTATTCCACTTCCAGATCTTCTTGTAGTTAATGGTCAGCCTGTTGGCTCCAGTTGGACTGGTGCACCAGTTTTCAAAACTGTATTCTTTACTGGAATTTGAGCATATTTTGCATGCAGTTGGTTATGCGTGGTTTGTTTTTTTAAGGGCAAAACTACTAACTACTTTATTGTTTGTAAGTAAACAAAATGTTTTTAGTGATAAAACCTTACCATTGTCAATCCGGAATCTATTGACAAATGTATAGAAAAAATACACCCTTATTGAACAGAGTCCTGTTTTTTAAAAAAAGACATCACTTCTGATTTCGTATTGGTCTGTCTAAAGATTTGTTTCGCGTTTGTGAATAAGCAAAAGTAATGAGATTAAACAGATTCATCTCTGATTTTTAATAAGATTATAGGTTTCCAGGCCGTAGGTGTTAATAAAAATCCGAATAAATCTTATGAAGAAGCTATGGCTTACACAGCGAAAGGTTCAGAAAAATCTTGTTTTGATTTTCTCAACACGCTGGGATTAATTTAAATACTTGATAAAGATTCATCTCTGCGTTAAAATTCAAAGAAGGCATGTAAGCGAACAACGCTGTTCCCCCAATTAAATCTTCTGACTATGTTTTAATGTGCATAGCTTTCAGAACCAGGGATAAATTGATAGGTGCTTCGTCCCCGTTTGGGACTCTTCAGCAGCATGCATTTATGACGCCTTTCGGGAGTACAAGACCAAGTATGTTGACCACGGTACTATTTCTTTTTACCGGAATTCAGTGGCATGCTAATGCTAACTTCGACCAATTAGGGATTGTAGGGCGATCGATCGCCAACAGTGTCATTAGCGAGTATTTGTCCTCATACATGATGGCCTCCTAGTGGTCACAATTTCCCACCAGAACTCTGTATCTTTTAAAAATAAAAATCTATTTAATTTGAAGATCAGAATTAATAAATTTTAAATGCTTTAAATATGCCAGTAATAATAATGATGATAATAATAGCAATAATAACAATAATAATAAGGTTAATGATAACATGAGTACAAACGACTGATGTCGGCGGCAATAAGAATAATGAAGGTATTATGATATTGTAACTAGTGGTCTAGTCGACGAGACGAAGGATACTGTACTGAGTTTGTGTCTCAGCGGGAAGACAATCACTCACTCAGTTAATAATGCAGGTACATTCAGCTGGTGAGTCAGGAATAGGAGGGTGAAATGCGCTTCTTGGATTCCACTGATAGTTAGTATCCACTAGACCACTTCAAGTGAATTCTCAGACATCATTCAAGTGTCCGTATTGTGACATTTTCCACCGATTGCGACTTTCTTCCTCGCATGTAACACTTAAGTGATTCTGTACATAGTTAAGCCTATCTGATAGACGACTCGTATCTTCAATCTTCACATATCAAAATAATATCATCTACAAATCTCCTATAGAAGGCTTGGTGAAATGTCCATTTAAGAGGATTTACCGTATTTGTACGGCTAATGTTATAGACAAAGAAAATGAAATATTGATGGATTGTCTCGTTGAGAAAGTATATCCTTTAAAAATTTTAAACAGGTGTAGAAGTCAATTAGTCTTTAAACCTACAATCTATACCGCTCCTAAGAAAATTGTTTCCACCAACTTACCATATAACGGGGAAATAAACAGTAAGATTTTGAGACAAAGGTTGACTTCGATCATCCATAAAACCTATTATGTAACCCAGCTTATAATTATCGAAAAAAACGCTAAAAATATGCTCCACTGCAAACCTCAAAAGTGCACAAGTGATTATGTCACATCCCACACTATTTACCAATTTTCGTGTGTGTGTGAACACATATACATAGGGAGGAGTAATCGTGCTTTGCATGTGAAGGTGGGATAGCATATCCCGAAATGGTTAGAAAAACAAATGAATTGTGATAAACCAATATATGCAGGTGTCAGACTACCAACTTCGTCTATAGTTAAACATCTAATCGAGATGAACCATAAGATTGATGTTAACTCAGCCTTTCAGTTCATCTATAAAAATGGTCAAGGGCGCTTACTGAAATACGCTGAGGCTATAGCTATTCATAAATTCAAGCCCCCCCCCCCCGCTGTGTTTGTTCAAAAGCAGTTTATTATTACTCTTAACCCACCTACCTTGGTAATCCTTATTTGATTGGATTACCAAACGTTGTGTCAATTAATTATTCTTATAATTCTTAAATCCTTTTCTTTTTCTCACTTTGTTTGATTTAATTGCCCTTAATTTCTTCATATCTATCGAATTGACAAGTGAATGTGTGAGGGATCAGATTGCTGTTCAAAATGTATCATTCAGTAATTCAATTCGCTTGAAATGTTATCAATATATGTGTAAAACTTGGGCACTGTGGTAGTAAGTAATTCCATTTTAATTTGTTTATTAGATATATCATACAGTGAAACAGTATTATTTACTGGATGACTTTTCGAACAAAATTCATTATTGTTCATAATCATATCATCACAGATAATCACACGACTTTGAAACTTGAGATTTATAGTTTTCTTTGTTCTCTCCTACTTATTGGATGGGTGGTAGAATTTTCCAGATATCGGGGACAGGTGATGAATCATTCCTATTACATGTATTTGTAGTTGATTCGATAAACAAAGCGTCTGTTATCAACCTCTCTCTATACCCTGTGACATTAGATTTTAAAACTGTCATCCTATCCCATCCTATTGTATGGTTGTGTGTAACTGCATGTAGTGAGTGCTATAGCTGAACTATTCTCTAGATTATTTGGGTCAAACAATGTAGATTTTGCTGCCAGGTTTTTATTTTTCGCTGACTCCCCTGTTCTACTAGTTTGACCTATGTATTTGACCTGACAATCATTCCAGCAGAGTATGAGATAAACTAAATTGTTTTGTTTTAAAGGCTCCACAGGATTGATCCTTTAACCGACAAAGCTTGTTTCTAATTGAGTTTGTGGGTTTGAATGCCGTTTTTATTCCTGCCTTGTTAAGAATTCTGCGTAAGGCTTCTGACTTTCCTTCCTTGTATGGAACTACTACTGATGATTTAGATTCCTTATTATTGGTGTCGTGATTAATATTATTATTATTATCACTATCACTACTATCATTATTTATTTTATTTCTACATTTCCTTACATATTTCTTGACTAATTTATCCGGGTAATTATTAAGTTTCAAAGCTTCTTTTTTTGTTTATCTGTTCCTGTTTTAGATTTTCTTTGGTACTACTTACTTTTTGTGCTCTGTCATTTAGACATTTCACCAATCCTATTTTTACTGACATAGGATGGGACGATCGGAAATCCAAATATCTGTTGGAGTGTGTGAGTGTCCTGTAAACCCTAGTGTTTACCTTCCCATCTTCTTTACGTTGCAATCTAACATTGGGAGCTCCCCTTCCTGACTTTCGAATTCATAAGTGAATGGATTTGCTTCAAACTTCAAGTGTTCGAAAAACCTATCTATATCTTGTGCTCTAAGTACAGTGAATGTGAATATGTGAATGTTACGAAACTAAAAGTTACATAATAATAAATAAAAGAGATGAAGTAGATA